TGCTAAGGGAACCACTTATTTGTCGTCAAGTCTCTTTCACACTGACTCTGTAATTACTTTACTGTTTCTCTTCCATTTTCTTATTTTCTCCTCTTTTAAGGCTGCTTCTTTCTCCTTAGCAGGGAGAAAGAGATGGTAGCGGACAGTGAAATGAAAGCTAGTGATGCCCTGAGCTAGAGAATGAGTTCAGCCAGCGTCTGTCTGTCAGAGAGAGAAAGGAAGAGAGCAGGGGAGGCGCTGAATGGTCGTAGGTCCCAGCTGAGTGTAATTCAAGGCCCTGTCATTTATCCAACAGAGGACAAGTGGATTATCTCAGTGTCCTTGACCCACTATACCCCCACTCTGTAATGCTGGCATAGAAAACTAAAGGGTATATGGATGGAGTGGGTGGATAGGACCCAGAGAGATGGTGGGCTGTGTGGCACACAGAGACAAGAATGGATGGCAGGCTGTTATATAATCTCAGAATCTGCATTTGAAACAAAGAATTTGTCCCTGCTGTGGTCTTTGGGCCGGGACTGGAATATAGAGAGACCAACTCTATTCAGAACTGGGAGTTTAAAAAACAACACATTTCACCAATAAACACCTTGAGTAACTAAACCTAAAACACAAATCTGCTCTCCTTAGTACCAGGTCATATCACTCACATCAGTCAGAGTGATATCACCTGGCAATGAAGGCCAGCCAGCAACAAATATTTTAATATTTAAATTTAGCGTCCAAGTATTTGCCTGTGAATATCATCCTTTGCTCAGATTTGACTTTGACTTTTTATCTATTCTTCAAAAACAAGTGTTATTGTGATTGAAATGTTAAATGTTATTCCAGAACCAGCACTGCATTAAGAAATGCAAGGGGCTGCTTTGCTGTGGACGGGTTGCAACAGGTACTGATCAGCACATAAAATACAATCCAGTGCCAGTTAGTAACTGAAAAGTAAACCAGTTTTTTTTTTTTATAAAACCATATGTAACAAATCACAAACTTGCCTCTTGGGGCTTTACAATCTTTACAGCATACAGCACCCTTTGTCCTTAGCACCTCGATTCTGATAAGGAAAAACTTTATGACATGGATGCCATATCAGAATGGTGGTGTGGTACAGAAGTAGCAGTAAAGAGTACAAATTAGAGTACATTTACAGAATGGACAATCAAGAAGAAATTATATATAGATTTTATATACAGATTTTATATATACAGTATATATGTATGTATGTATATATATGTATGTATATATATGTATGTATGTATATATAGACGTATATATATACATATATATATATAGACGTATATATATATATGGATAGATTGTAATGGGTTCATGAGTTCTACAGATAATCAGAAACTAAAACATTGCACAGTGTAACACTGTGAGGAGGGATTTCAAAACTCTGAAAGTTATCACGACAGAGTAAACTGTAGAATTTTCCATTCATTTTTCAAAGTAATTTAGCACGACTGCACTTGTATGTATTCGATTGGCCAATGCAGTTCTTTGTAGGAATGACGTCCAAACTTTTGCCATGGGTTTGTGGCAAAAGTTGAGCTGGGTTCACCTTTTTCCTGAATTAAAAATGTTTAGTTGTTTTCGTTTCTTTTGACCCTCTATGTTGGCACACTCACTGCATGAATGCTGTGGGTCCATAGAAATGGGTAAGCGGGGTGCAGAGTTTTTTCTACATAGTGCTAATGTCAGTCTGAACATGGCCTTACAGGCTGCATCTGTAGTGTTGGTGTCTGTGACTTTCAGCTATGATTACTAATGTGAGACAATATCAACTCATGCTGATCTGAAATGAGTTTAAGCAGATTAATAAACACAGTTGTTTCTTTGGCTAAACTTTCAGTTGCCATGAAAAATGGCTGTAACCATAGTACAGTTTACTAGTTTCATTACCAGTATTTTAAAACACTACTTTTGAAATCCCTTCCCTACACAAAGAAAGCAATAATTAGCAATAGCCAGCATGGTAAATGTCACACAATGATGATGTTGCAAACTGCAAGTTGTCAAGTTCTAGTACAGTCTGGAGTGGAGCTGAGTTATTATTAATTGTTTAAGCCATGTTTCAAAACGGAAATGCCAGGCAAGTTCTCAAAAATGAGGATTTGCTCCTTTTCTTTTTCTTACATTAAATAGTGACAATTTTGGACTGTTGGTCAGACCAAAATTCTGGATTACCTATTTAGCTGTAAAACATGTTTGAAACTCTTTCATAAACAAACTGTCACTTCTCATGCAAGTTCATATGCAGTGTAGACGTTGCCACAGAGATACTTTAGATAGATACAGGAAATAGCATGGATGTGATGTCAGAAGCAAACAGAACAGAGAGAAACAGTGGGTAGAAGAATAATGAGGTAGATGGAAACGATAGGATGCGGATATGTGAGCATTAGTAAGACATGTAACAGCAGCGAGATGGCAGTAAAGACATGAGCTGCAGAGGCATGGCTGGTGTTTGCAGAAACCTCTATCAGCCTCTGTTGTATTTCAGTCTGTGCGAGCGTGCATGAGTGTGCGTAGGCTTATGTTTTTGTGTGTTGGGGGGGCAGATGATGTGGTGGAAGACTTGGGGGGGGGGGTATGGCTGTGTACTGACAGCTGGCCTCTATAAATAAATGTCGCAGGCAGGGGGGTGGGGCATGAGCGCGGAGAGAGAGAGAGAAGGAAGGAGGGAGCTGGGAAGAATGAGACATAAAGGGGAGGGAGGGGGGAGGACGGGGGACAGAGGGAGAAGACAGAGGATGGGGGGGCTGATAGAGAGAGACTGATACAGATGTACTGAAGGACTTAAAAGACTGTGGTGAGTGTCCTGCACTCCAGTCTTGACTTACTCAACATGCAGCACATGTCCCCACAGTCTCAACCAATCAGCAGCCCCCAGTGGGGTCATGTGCTCCCTGCATGTTGCCTCTCTTTCTCTAAATGTGTCAACGACTGAGAACTGCAGAGTGTATTGCTGGTACATTTTAACTCACATCAGTGTTGCCCTGTCAGCTTCCTTCCGTGTCTTGTTTTGAATCCTTTGTGTGTGACGCAGGGAGCTCATCAAATCCAGAAAACAAAGAGGGAAAAAAAGAAAAAAAAGGAAGCAAAAGAAATAAAAGTTAGGCCAGAAGCAACAGATCAAAGACAGGACAGAGTACTGGTGTCATGTTTTTTATCACACAGACAGGAAAAGTATCAAACAGAATTCCTGTGAGAGTGACTGTAAGTCTACATGGTTTACATTTAGCCGTAGTCGCACTCCCTCGATTAATTTGTCATGTATTTGGTCACTGAGCCTTGTCGGATCATGTCCTGTAGACTAGCTGCTTAGTAACAAGTGATTGAGATGGACTGTATCACTGACACAGGCCACTTTCACTTTCATGCCTCCAGTTACATGGTTTCATTGCTTTCCAAGGGCATGTGTGTGTGTGTGTGTGTGTGTGTGTGTGTGTGTGTGTGTGTGTCTGTGTCATTTTGTTTATGAGGCGGTGAGCTGGGTTTGGGTTTCCTGTCTGGCACAGCTTTGAAACACTGAACACCTGCCTGTCTCACAACCCAACGGATGTACCTATCTTACTTATTTTACCTGTCTGCCTGCTGGTCTTATCTGTTAACCTCTGTGTGTGTCTATGTGTGTTTACTTTACATGTCTGCCTGTGTTTGAAATCAATTATAAATGTCACATCCTCAGCATTTCCTTGATTATTAGTTGTTTTTTTTCTCATTTCTTTAAAGTGAATGATTGTCAGTCAGAGTATCTGCTGGCACAGCTGTGAGAGAATCTGAGGGAAAAGTAAAAATGGAAAAAGGTGGGAGGAAGAGGCAGTAAGACTGGGGAGGGGAAGGAGGAATATAACACAGACCCATAGCAAGAAAGTGGGTGGGGTCAAGTTATCAGGCGACATCAGCACGTCTTCTCTCCAACTTCCTCCATTTTTGCTTGCATAGCAAACTATAGCAGACTTGTGAAAGACATTCGTCTTTGGGCAGTCACATGTTTGTAATATACTATAGCTTACTGATGATTAGCGCATGCACACGTGTGTGTCAGGGAGAGAACCACATACAGAGGATAATGGAGAGTATGTGCGAATGTTGTGATACATGATAAATACTAATATATATGTTTAAACAACATCCTGACAATGTTAGTAGTACTGGCAGCAGGTGGCCAAATAGTGGATCATCTTACACTTTCTATTGACATCTCAATATAAACCACTATAAAATGAATGAAGATTATTCATAATACTACTAGAGTGTGAGGATTGTTGTTTGAGTTGACAAGACTAAAAGCCCAAAAGTGGTATTAGTTTCGCTGCTCCATTCTGTTTGTATCACTTCATGTTTTTTTGTCAGCTCTCTTCTTTCTGTCTTGAATACTCCGTGATTAAATTGTGGTATTTTAATATGTTAACAGTGCTCTTGTGATTTCAGCTCCCATTTAGGCCCATTAGTTTTCTGTTGCCAGTGTTTATTAGTTCAGAAAAATGTGCCCTAGAATTGTTACAACTCTTTAAAAAAAACATCTGTTCTCCAACCAGCCTTCGCTCTCAGACCTCTCTCTAAATGTCCGTCCTCATCTCCATTTCATAAGATGAAACTTCTAAAAACTATATATGAAAAAAAGAAAATCTATAAAAATGTGTTTGTTTTAGGCTTGGCACTACAGCAAAAAACAAAGGCAGCTCTTTCCAATACAACAGAAAACAACTATTCCTCTCAGCTCAGAATCCACAAAAGTGCATTAACAGACTGTGAGCAATATGCACAGTGAATTGTTTGCTTCAGCACACATATTGAATTGAGGGCCTCATATTGAATCTACAATAGTGAGAAAGAACACCATCTAAATTAATCAGTTACTCTGTCCAGAGACCTCCCTGCAGTTCCCCCAGCTGCAGGCCTGTAGAAACAGCTAAATGTATTCTGAGTGTGACTTCCTCACACTTCCTATCCCCTGTCTGACTCGTGTCCTTCTCTCTGTTCTGTTGCTGCAGCCTCTAGCACAGTGGTGCAGGCTGCTGCCCAAAGATGCTGCCAAGATGCCGGAGAGCACGTGGAAGCTGGTCTTCTACACCATGTCATGGTCCTACAGCACCTACCTGCTCTTCTTCACCTCCTACTCCTTTTTCCATGACCCGCCCTCTGTCTTCTACAGTAAGATACACAACAAACAGATAAAGTAATGTCATTTGTAGTTCATTTATTTAGCAGTTTGTGCACCATTCATCTTTTGGACCTGTTAAATTGTTGCTCCTCTTCATCACTTAAAATGAAAGAAATAAAACTAAATCTATTTTCTGAACATGTTGAATAGAAATTGATTGTATGTATTCAATTCATTGTTTGAAGTTGGTCCATATTAGATAAATACCATAATCAGGAAAAGCATATTTTATAGCACTCTAACAGAATAGGTCTCTCACCTAACCTTTAAGGGTAGATAAGAAGCTGAAGTCATTTTATTTATAATGAAGCAGCAGGCAGCACAGCCTAATCCTATAGAGACTCTGTGGGGGGTGAAATGTCACTTTGACTATTCAAATGGATAGATATTTATAACAGGTGGTTCATATATGTTTTGAGCCTTGAGTTGATCCCGTTTGTCTGTCATACACTAATCAGTGACGTGGTTATTGATACAAAAACTTTTATTCACCAAATTGAATCCAACATTTAGAGAAGAAAGTGTCAATTAGATAAGATAAGATAAGATAAGATAGTCCTTTAGTAGTCCCACACTGGGGAAATTTGCAGTTGTGTTATGTTGTTTTTGTAGTCATGGAAAGGCATAGGAATGATCAACCCAACAGTAAAGCAACGGTTTATAATTATACATTATACATTAAGACAGAATGATCTGTATAATTGTGCCTAATGGAGAATAGTCACTATTAGAATGTTTTTCTGATGACTCTCATTGCATTGATAATGGAGGATAGATGTGTAATGGGGATTCCACTTATAATCCAGGGATGTCTTTTATAGTTTCTCTGCCTCTCCCATCAGACATGGAGGTGTCAGGGCTCCCATCTAGCTCCACTGCTCCGAGTGGAGCTAGCAACGCTGCCAGGTTCATCTTTCATAGCTGCAGTCAGCCTGAGATCTGTACAGAAGCAGTGTAATGTGGCTGGACTGTTAGGGAGCGAGGGAGAGAGAGAGAGGGAGAGAGAGATGTGAAGCTACAAAGAGAAGGTGAGAATGTGGAAAAGGAGGAGAAATCAAAGTAACAGTGTGGCATAAGTGAGGAGGGTTAGTGTGTCCTGAAGAGAAAAGAGGGGGAGAAAAAAAAAAAGCCTAAGTCTCCAGGAGAAAAGAAGGGGCTTGAGTTCCCATGCCTCCCCTTGGCAGCTCTTCTGTTGTGATCCATCTAGCAGCCTTCTTCTCAATGTTTAATGACGGAAGGACCAATCAATAAACATTACACGCAGCCCAAACGTAACCCCATCCCACAAGAGACAACCCTTACTCAAACATCGGAGGAGAAAGTTTCCATCCAACATCTGATAGGTTTCAGAGAAGTGAGCTGGCCTAGCAGCCTTAACATACATTTGGCCTGTTTCGCCTGTGGTACCTCAGAAACCTGCTCTGATTCTCTCGAGGGTAAACCCAATCCGTCCAGCCTCCTCCCATACTAACCCCCACCACCACCACCACCACCCACCGGAAGTCATTGTATATAGTTCAGTATCTGGAGATAATGGTTATACTGTATTTGTGTCCAAATGGGTGTATATAACAAGGATACTGCTGTATATACAAGATATTCGTCTGTGTGAGATGAATACTCTGTTACATCACTATGTGATGGAGCTTTTTCTTGTGGCACATAAACTGCATGTATCCATATGCAACCATATTTGAATTCAAATGTGGACAAAACTGAAAGACTAAATGATAGAGCAGGAGACACATTCATTGTAAAACTGAATATTTTTAAGTTATTTTTTTCAAATCCACTTCAAAATTCAATGGCCTATTATTAAATCACTGAACAATAATAATAATGAATTCATTTGGATGTTTAACATTTAATCAGTTTATAACTTAAAGATCCCACATGATAGACATTTCCATGCCTGTTTTGATTATAAAGCAGACCCAGTCACAGCCCTTCATCAGAACAATCTTAAATTGAGATGTCAGGAGCTCCGGGAAGAAGCGTGAGGGAGGAGATGTAAAACTATGTTGAGATGGTTTTAAAGACGGTAGTTAAAACCGCAAATATATCTTCCTTTGGATATCAAAACTTCACATAAAACACTCAGTAGGTTTTTGAATTGCATCAGATTTACTAGCCTTAAAAATGATCATTAACATTATTCTGTAGCCTCCACAGTCATTTGCAATATGTAATTTATTACAAATAGGCCATACAGTTGCTGAATCAGGCTTAGCTTTGAGACATTGAGTGGTGTCATTTTAATACTTAATGTTTGATTTAGTGCATATCTAAGATTTTTGGGGATTTTAACCTCACTGCAAAAACTGATCTTACGTGAGAAAGAGGGAGACAACCCAGTACACCACATTTTGGCAGAGACAGAAAGTGCCTCCTCTGCTTCAGCGTGTGCTAATACGCAGTGAGTCTGAAGTAAAAAGTCCTGTTGGCATGCCTGTTTCCAACTCTGTGATAATCCCAATGTACAGTGTGAACAATAGTCTGAGATCCCCAACAGGAAACGAGGGTAACACAGTTACAGTCTGTTCCCGAAAGCTCTAAGAGAGTTCATACCTCTGCAATTCCTTAAATTTATTATGACAAAAACTTTTTCATTTGTAATCTGAATCTGGAAGCAGATCTGTATTAAAATGCACATATTGATTGCAATTTATGGTGTCTGGCTGAAGGACTGCAAAATGAGTAAGACTTAACAGACTTCGAGCCTAACTTTATCATGTTGCTGCAGTGCCCCCTATAGACAGCATGCTGTTACATTTATTTATGGATCTTAAAATGAAATGCGCCATGATTACAACATAAAGAAAAAAAAATCATGGCATGGCCTGTACAGATATATTTGTCTTAATCCCAGAAATCTAGATAAAATCTTTGCTTTGCAGTCTAGCAGTTCCCAGCTAAAATAAAGTGGCTTACAAATGTCCACATAGTAGCATGCAGCACTGTATCAGGATATGCCTCAAAAACAAAAACCTCAAACATCACAGGAAGGAATCTCTCCTGGAGCTGCTTTATCAGTTGATTTTAAAGTGAAAGCTGAGATGCTTAATGTTATGAATCTGTTCCTAACCGCTCCCCATGTCTTCCACAGACTGGAAGAGCGGTATGCCAGTGCCTACAGATATCGCCATCGCCTACCTGATCCAGGGCAGCTTCTATGGCCACTCCATCTATGCTACAGTCTACATGGACGCATGGAGGAAGGACTCTGCTGTCATGGTGGTGCACCACATCATCACACTGGCACTCATTTGCTTCTCCTACGCTTTCAGGTATTTTTGTTCAGTTTACTCTTGTGCTTGTCAAGTCACGAAAAAAAAAACAACATACTTTTGACTTTTATAGTTGTTGGATGGGCATAAAACTGTTAATCACAAAACAAAGGAATGTAAAGCAGCAGCTGTTCAAAGTGTCCTATCACTGAGAAAGGGGCACAGATGCGTCATATAGTGATGAATTACACTCTGGTCATTGTAGTTCATTAACACGCTGTCAGCACCTGGCAGCATTAAATCTTGCTTCATGCATTATTGCACCCAAGAAAATGTAGAACAGAAACTTATCTGGTTGGCTGATTTTTTTAATTTATTTTAGAACTGAATATAATACACAACAGCGTGTGCACGTGGGGTTTTCGGCTTTCTGCCTGCAAATACAGGGGTTTTACAGAAAAAAATTAGATAAGAGCCACAGTTGACAGAGTTCAGTGAGAACTAGAATAGAAGCAGGTAAACTGATAAAGCCAAAATCAAAAATGCTTCAGTGTGTTCATTTACATTCATTAAATAAAAATAAAATGCAGAGCAACTGAAAGGAAATTGATTGTTAAATGTGGGAAGTGAGACACCACTACTGGTTGTGTTTTTGCTGACTGTATAATATCTCATTTATAATATCTAATTTAAAATTACAGCCACTACAAAGGCCTTAACACTTTTTTTCTTCTATTAGAAATAAGATGAAATGTACAAATAGTGTGCTGTATGTTCCTGCCCCTCAGGTACCACAACGTAGGGATCCTGGTGTTGTTCCTCCACGATATCAATGACATCCAGCTGGAGTTCACCAAGCTCAACGTTTACCTGAAGTCCAGAGGTGGAGGCTATTACCTGCTCAATGATATTTTGTCCAACATGGGCTCCGTCAGCTTCAGCATCACTTGGTGAGGCTCCACACACACGCACACACACACACACACATACACTGACTAATCTACTGTCTCTCTCCGTCTCTTCTCGCCCCATTCATTCAGTATCACAGCTGAGTGTTTTTCCGTCTGCCTCTTACTCACTCATGAACATACTGAAGATGAATAGATATGTATAATATTTCTATTTCTGGTCTCCACTGTGTTTCTGTCTGTCAGGTTCTGGTTCCGTCTCTACTGGTTCCCTCTCAAAGTGCTGTATGCCACATGTGTGTCCAGCCTTCAGTCTGTGCCCAACATCCCCTTCTACTTCTTCTTTAATGCTCTTCTCCTCGCCCTGCTGCTCATGAATATCTACTGGTTCCTGGTGAGGAAACACACAGATACACAAATACAAAAAAGGATTTTAAGTTTATTGAAAACTTGCAAAGCATTTATGGCCAGTGTTTGTTTGTCTTAATGAAACAATGACACAATCTGATCCTTTTCTGTTTCCAATTTTCCTCCCTCTCTTTTTCAGTTCATTGTTATTTTCGTAGTGAAGGTGCTAAAGATGAAGGAGGTGAATGACGTCAGAGAGTACGAGGATGAGGATGGCAACAAGACAGCAGCAGGCCTGCACAGAAACCCTCAGGCAGCAAACAACGAAGATGATGCTGGACATCACAACTCTGCCCAGGGGTGAGCGACACCTTCAGATGCTGTTGATGTTTAAGAGGCTACAGCTCAGGGTAGAAAAGTACCATCAGCCAACTGTTGGCAGGTTCTCACTGTAAATGGTGAGTTTGTTTCGAGTAGCAGGCAGTTTGGCAGGAAACCAAACCCAGCATTTTGAGGTGGTATTTGTAGAGTTTCCACATCACTGCATTATTACTCGAGAGGTCATTTACATGTAACGAGCAGGACGGTTGCAGTGAAAGGTTTTCACACCAGTGTTAAGTTCTCCCAGAGCACTGCCTTGTACTTATGGTTGAACTAATGCTATGAGACGGAGAACCAGGGCCTGTATTTATCAAACTGCTGAAAGTTAAATTTTGGACTTTAGTGAAAGATAAAAATAGAAAATCTTTCACTTTTACTCTTAATCACAAACTTAGGAATAAAAACTATTTATCAAACTTCATTTGAAAAAAATTGAAAAATGCTCTTAAATGTAAGAAGCTGCAGAGAGTATACTGAATGCTAAACAAAACAAAACAAAAATTAAATAAATTGTTCGTGGTGGTGGTGACCCAAATATTGGAAAACAAAAGATGTCTATTTGAGAAATTAAAATGCCAGTTGCAAAATCGCAGTTTGATTGACAGTTGACACATATTGTTTCATTTCCTGTTGTGCAAGTGTAAAACGGTGTAGTATAAAGTCTAGTTTACCGTGTGAACCTGTGGTAAGCTAATACCACACATTCTGATGTAACAGCAGGTGTAATGTTCACATCTTAGTTTGGCATGATAACTTTTGCTAAACAGCACTGAACAAAAAGTACAGCTGTCATTAGCCACTACCACTGGCCAACACAAACGACTCTGCATTTATATGGTCTATCAACATAATGCAACTGTGCATTGCATTATTTTACAGTGTATGCCTGTAAAAATAACAAACGCAGGCCTTAGAAAAATTTGAATTTGTTTAAAATATCAAACACTTGCTTACAAAGACATACAGAGCTCTAGCACAGGAGCCAAAGGACGAGCACAACTAAATACTGTGCTATTTTCTAGCTGAAATCACATTTGAATTTATCCTTAACATGACAGGAAGCTGTGGCCTTAATGGGGAACTGCGGTACTCATTTAGGAATAGACGTTGAGTGCCAGTGGCATGTGTCAGAGCCTCTTTAACTTGGTCTCATGTGCTCACAGTAACAGTTACAGTTAAATGTACAATTAAACATTGATGTTGGAAAATGGTGCATGTAGCACTCCTAAAAAATGGTGGATGTGATCAACATTGGAGCCTGCCAGTCATTGCAGTCGGTGGATAATTATCATTGCTCTATGAGAGGGCAGGCAGTAGAATATTATGGGGCACTGCAATTATTATTATTTTTTATTTTTTTTTACCAATGAAGCCACTGCATTGTGTAATACAGAGGTCTCTACTAATGTGTGAATGAGTACTCAGCACTTTTCAATAGTGAGCTTTAAACCAGAAAATGCTAACTTGACTAAAACCAAAGTGTATCTGTTTGCGCCTTTTATCTGAAGTTGTGGATTCATCTGTTTTTATCTGTGGAGCTGCCTTTAGCCTTGTATCTTCCCGTCATGTGTACCCCCTATCGTCTTCTGATCATTATCATAGTAGCCTTTGACCAGCTCTGAAGACCCTGAAACTGCTGACGACTTTATACCCCAGTCTCTCCTCTTAGTGTCAGAATAGTCACAGAAAAAAAAAAAAAAAAACTTGTCCTATTGTGGTACAGTCCAAAGATGTGATAACTCGAGCAGGTTAAGAGTTCATCCCTTTCGGCTCTCCCTCCCCTCCTCAAGGCGGGTATAGATGCGGAAAGAGCAGATCGCCCACTGAGCTTGTGCAACACGCAGCGCTCATAGACAGATGGGATCAAAGAGCCTGAGACCATATGGAGATGTGATTATGTGGCGCTCCTTATCTGCCTGGCCTTGAACACTGCTGATATCCCCTCTGCCTGCTAATGCCTCACATCTGCTGATCACCTCACCAGACAAGCTTATTCCTTCTCTCCTCCGTTCCCGAGACTCCTTAGCTTCACTCTCCATTGTCTCTCTCTCTCTCTCTCTCTCTCTGCAGGAAGCACGTGCAAAACGGGGTCACCAAGGAGAAACATCTATAACGGGCTCTCCGTCGCCACCACCAGGCACTAGGCTACAAGTACAAGCAAGACAAGACGCCTTCCTGGGATGGCTCGCGCTCAAAACGTGGCTCTGAAGGGAAGAGTGTCACAAAAAGAAAAGGAAAGAAAATACAAAGTTAGGGCGCAATGAGTTTTTATTCCTTTTATTTGTTTTAGAACATTTCATTTCATCGCTGTCATTTTGTTTTCGGTCTTGTTTTTATTAGAGCACTGTGAATGTTATTTCAGGTGACTTTTGTCTTATTGTTGATAACTTTACATTCGATAGATTCAGTAGAAACAAACCAGTTTGAGTGAGACTTGGACTGTGATTGTCACGTACAGTAGTGCAGGGTGTCATATTCATCACTATCACCCTTAACAGCAGCACAACACCCAGACAAGAAAAAGGTTTAGACCTGTGGGTCTGTAGACATTTAGACCTGCAGTAACCTGCAGTAACAGACATTATGCTGATTCAGTAGGGGTGAGCTGCGTTTGCCATCAGTCAAATATAATCAATTCCTTTCCTCCTCACCCCTCTTCAAACTCCGTCCATTCTCTCTGATTCAAGACATGAGGAGAAGAGGATAAAAAAATAAAATAAAAATAAATAAATGAAATAAAAAAATCGAATCAGAGGGAAACATTACATTGTTCCGAGTACTGCTCTTCGGGCTGCAGTGATGCCGGAGAGCTTGTCTAGCATTGTCTGGTGCTGTTTCACCACATGTATTGATTTTCATATCATTGCACAAGTCAGTGGTGGCGACCGCATAGCTGTGGCCCCCCTGCGTCCATTAGTTTGAATTGAACAGCCACATTGATGTGTGTAGGTATGTGTGTGTGCGTGTGTGTGTGTGTGTGTGTGTATGTGTGTGTGTGTGTTTGTGTGTGTGTGTGTTAGGTGTTTCAGGATGGGGAGAGTATGGATGTAGCCGAGTCTTTTAAACTCACAACATTTCACCTCTCAGTTTCTCTTTTACTGATGATCAACAGACATTTCAATATTCACTTGGCATTCCTGTACGGAAAAGGTTTTCTTTTCTTTTTCTTTTTTTTTTGTTTTCTTTTATTGGCCCTTCCCCAGTGTGTGTTGCAAAGCATCTGTTGCTGCACTGACATGAAGGCATACAAGCTGATTGCTGGTTTAATGACAGCAACTAGCTAGAATTGATTGACTGGGTTTAAGTGTCATCCTCATGATTTAATTTGTTAAAAACCGATATGGATCTGAATTACCTTTATAACCAGTTCATGGGTGGTGGCGGCTATCAGGTTCACAGAAAATCAGAACAATAGCCCAGAATTTGTGTAAAGATAAAAATCAGTATGATTTAAAAAAAAAAACAATATGTATGCACACATTATGGTATTCAGGAATGCATGACATCGGAATGATTTTGGAAATATGCTATGAAATTGTCTTACAAACAAACAATGAAGAAAAAAACTAACTATGTAATCATAATGTCTTTATAAATGTCTAAAATTCATCCTAAAAGTGATATTTTTTGAAGCAGCAGTGACCACTGAACACACATAGTGTTGGCAGACAAATACATACAAACCAGTGGGTGACAAAACCTTCTTGTGGCATTTAAATGTGAGGAAGGAATGATACCGAAGTCTATTTTGTCCTAAGAAAACCCACATATGGGAGGATGTTAAAACTACACTGAAAGGGAACTATTTCATTTGACTGCTTTACCTGTATCCCACTGCTTTACTATACGTGTGTTTAGTGGAAAACAGCTGCTGCACCTGTAGAAAATAAGGGATATTTCTATTTCTTCCTACCTTCTCGATCAAATTCAAGCTTGTTTCGATGAACAGCATGCTTGTACTGCTGGAGCAGGCCGCAGATGACGTCTGTCCTTAGGAGAAGCGTCCGTTCTGTTTTAGTTTATTTTTGTCTTCCATGATCCCAACATCAGCAACTTGGGGAGTTGAAACTAACTTTTTATTTTACATTCAGCTATCATTATTATTGCTGTAGTCCAATTTATAATTGTTGATTTGTTTTGGAATTGCTGCTGTTTTTTTTTTTTTTCTCTGAGAGCACTGCTTGTATTCCAGTTGTTGTTTTTCTGCTGTGTATGAATCGCTGATAGTCTGTTCAGATCAGATATTTCCAGGGACCAGGGAGAGCTGTTTGTTCATCTACATTACGAACATCTAGATTTAGTGTCAGATCTCTTCCTTTTAATCTGAATGCTGGCTCACGCCCGTTTTACTGTAGTCTTTACACATCTGTACTGTAAGTAACATGCTTTATCAAACATGTTGCTGTGTGTAATATATCAGATGTTCAGAGTCCCGTGGCTGACTGACTTTACTAGCATGGTGTTCTGTGACCTCTGAGGTCCTGCCTGCTCAACTGTGAGACTAGAGCATCCATAGTTTGCTGATATCTTTTGTTATATGATGACAGGTGACAGGTGAGTGAAGTTTGCAGTAACCCCACAAAGAACTGTGATCTGGATTAGGTGCAACTCATCCCAAAAATCTGGTATGGTACTATGTGCAAAAGGTGCACCTACAATTTCTCCACCTCTCTCCCACTGTGTCGTACTATAAACGTGATGTGTGAGTAACTACTACTAGGGGTGGGCAATATGATAATGTAAAGCCTACAATCAGTTTCTGCTATAACATATTTAAACATCTCAGGCTGTATTCAGCTTTTATGAACAGTGTTTTAAATCAATCAGCTGCTTTTCTGGCAAGATTTGTTTTTGTATCTTTGCAAATTTTAGCATTTCTCATTCGATTTTCGATGCAAGAGAAAACTTTGAATTCCCACACACTGTCAGCACTGAGTTTATTGGAGATATGTGTCTTGATGGATGCCCCACAATGTCCATGACTAAAATGTATCTCTAATAACCTCAGTGTGTATGAATTCAACCTTTTCTTTCACATGAAAGTATTTCCTACACACCTGTCTACAGGTGATGCAACTGAAATTTGTTATATTACCCTGTGTATAAATATTACATGAAGTTACATGTATTGTGAAGGGGAATTTATCCATATTGCTCACCCCTAACTTTTATCCAGAACTGACAAAACTATCTGGAAATTGAAGGAAGATTTAGAGATTGTCAGTTTATTTTTCTTTCTGACTGGATTTGGCTAATTCTTATTAAAATGTTTGACATTGGCAGTTTGACAGTTCAGGTTGTCTTTGGTTTAAGTTGTTGGAAGGATGTTGCCTGTGAAGCTCACTCAGTCAGACAACTCACCTGGGGAAGATTTATTCTGGGAATGTATTCTTCAGAGTTGATATTTGATGTCACTCTCCATTTGCATACACTAAGCTCAGCACAGAGAATCAGGGAGTGGCGATATGTTTGCAAACCGAGTAGTAAAACAGCAGCGATCACCGGACCACCTGACTGCAAAGTCTGCAGTGGATTTGTGTCGCAGTGTGTAGAATATCATACATTTGGTGTCCAGGTTCTGACCTCGTCACTCCCTGTTAGCATACACTAAGCTCAGCGCTGAGAAAATCAGGGAGTGACTGTAAAAAGTGACAGTTTTTGTGAACGCATCAGTAAACTAGTTCAACTGATAGGAACACCTTAATGCAAAAGCTGTAGTGGATTCGTGTAGCAGTGAGTAGAGTATGATGTAGTTGGTGTCCAGGCTCTGACCTTGTCACTCCCATTTGCATACACTAAAATCAGCACAGAAAAGATCAGGGAGTGACGATAAAACTAAGCAGCAACTTTATTGAAAAGGCTGTGTTGGATGTTTTGTACTAAATGTGACGAAGTTGTCTGTCTGAACCGGCTCGCAGGCTCCACACCATTATGACACAAAATATCTCCCATCAGTGTGTCGATTGTGCCAAAATGTCCACCCAAATTAAGAAGCAAGTGTTTGTGGGAGCTGGTGATGAGTGAAGAGGAGAGCTAGCAGAGACTGACGGGCGAAAAAGCCCTGCAGGTATTTCTTATAAATTGCACTGTAATTTATTAGTATTATTTTTATTGTTCATTAGTAGATCAAATTTAGAAAAGGGAAGGGAGAATTTGGGAATTTTTATGACTTTCTGGGAAGAATCATTAACCAAATCTTTCATTAAAAGTGTATTTTAATGATACATATTTTTTGGACCACTGATATAAACTGTAAGCTGTACAAATTGCCCCATTTTTTTTTTTCCAAGCTCTTTTAAAATTTGATCACTTTCTAAATTCAGACCACTTGATAAAGACTTGCTCTTTTGTAATACAATTTTAATACCATTCAGCCAATGTTATCGTTTCATTATTTTCCCCATAAAATAAAACATGTCAGTAAACAAGACACGTGTTCCTTGTATTTTCTTTTCATCATTTATTTATTTTAATTTTTTTAATCACAACTGATATCATTTTCATTGCAAAGATCAAGTGTTGTGGATGAGGCGAAACAGAGTTCAGACCAGAGGAGAGTTCATCTCAGTGCACAAACAAAAACTGCTTCAATAAATTAAAAATTCATATGTACCACACAGTATTTCCCTCGTGTCGGTAAATAAAATGTCCTGTCGATGTTACCACGGTGATGGGGAGGCTACTGGTCATGCAGCAACGTTTGGAAAATACAAAACTGTGGGGGGAAAAAAAAACAAACAAAAAAAAACCACCATTCACCCACAACAAGGCAAGACTAAGACAGAAAGGTCAAGGAAACACTACGGTAATTTTCACAGCAAATTCTCACTGAACTAATATTCTGGATGTGTCTAAGATATTTTTCCCATTTAATCCAACACCTTTTGTGTTGCTGCCCATTTTAAGACATCCAATGCTGCAGTGCTGGCTTGACCAATATCTTAACACGGCTTTAAGAATTTCTGATTAGGTCACAGTTTTGCCGCAGTCAGCAAAAGTCCACGCAGAGCACAACATGTTTTCTACTGATAAAAAAGGAGTAAAGGGGGAGTTTTATCTTGTCATGATGTGTTGGCGTTGTACTCTTTACACACTAGACACGTACATGCTCCGATTAGACAAGAAAACATGTTTTTTGCATGTGACCTTTTGTAACGAGCTTTCAGATGAAAGCACTTCACGGACATGACTTTTTTGTTTAATCAAATCAGGGTTTAAAAAGACTTGAGCGATGAAAATAAGACATCAAGTCACACAGCGACAGAGAAACAAACCTTTAAAAAGGTGACTCAAAGAGCAAGGAGGAAACATTTCAAGGTGGAATCTGCTTAGATTTATAGAACTATATATATTAAATGTGGAGAAAGGGGGAATTTCATACATACACTAATTATTTGGCAAGGATTTTTGTCCCATTCAGCTCAATGTTTCTTCTAATAAATTCACTGACATCAGGATTATACACACACTACTTCACATTGTATTTAGACAACTTGTCATTTCCGTAAACTGTATTTGTGTTTGAGGAGTCATTTTCTTTCAGCATTTAAAGGACGAGTTCAGAATTTTTCAAGTCTGCCTCAACACAACACTCACATACTCATATCTGCACACAGTTATTGGCCGCTGCGATCATTCCTCATGTCCATACTGGAATATGAAGTGCTCCCTTCCTTGCATGACTACACTTAATTAACAGAAAATTAAACGCCAATTAATCATTGAAGTCATAGGACAAATATTTGCTGGTTCGAGCTTTGTGAGGATTTTTCTACAATTATACTGTTGTAAATTGAACATCGGACTGTTGACAGAAAAGGATATGTGAGGATGTCACTTTTGGCTCTGACAACCTGCGGTGGGCGTTCGTGCACTAGTTGACATGTTTTAGTTGAGAAGTTAATCGACAAATGATTTAGTAATTAAAATAATTGTAAGTTGCAGCCCTAAAGGTCCAAAAGACAAAAGGCCACTGTCCTCTCTGAAGTTGGTGAGGCTTCAGCAGTTTGAGTCAGCCCAGTGGATATCGTCTGATATTACAGTCTTTTTAATGTGGCATTCTCTCTGTGTTTCCATGGACAGTGTTTCTTTGATGAGCTGCGGAGCAGGGATATCAGCACAAGGAGGGAACTGCGACTTATACTTGTAACTCTGCTGAAGCTTCATTTCATCTTCAGCTGAACTTTAGGGAGCGTTAGTATTGTATTAAGACAGACTTGACAAAATGCGAACCTGTCCTTTTTACCACACGGTTGGCGAACACGTCTCTCAACAAAATAAATTCTGGGCTAAACTCTGTCTGGTCAGTTTCTCCCTCTAGCTGCCCGAGAAAACATGTGACGTCAGTTTAGCTGAATGATCACTTGTACAGTATACTGAGGAGAGGAATGAAGCGATCAGTGGCACAGCAACATCACAAACTCACTTAATCTCGTCTAGACCTCTGAGGTGTGGACAAATGGTTTAAAATCAATCACCAGAGTCAAATAATGAAGTATTTCCAATCCGAGGGATTATCAGAAATGAAAGACAAAGACATCTGTGGAGAGAAGAATGATTCCTGATTATTCTGGTCGCTGAGACCAAATGGATTAAGTTGGCAGCAGGACAGGATCTGACATCATAGTTTGTGGATCAGGATGAAGGAAATGGAAGCGATTCTGCTGGTTTGAAAACCATCATGACAACAGCAGAGTCCGGAAAAGAGAAGGTGTTGGTGGTTGGTTTAGTGGACCTTCGCCTTGGGTTGGGTGATTCTACGGACAACACTGTAGAGGACCCCGAAGTTCTGTAGAGAGACCACAAGACCAGAGACGGTGTTCATTTCATATTTCCAAACAAGAAAACAAAACATCTGCACATTTACAAGCTCTTCTCTAATACCGGCCACATAATAATGTTTTGTGCTCAAACATAATGCTGACAGGACAGTTAGAGACCGCGATGCCTACATGATGTGTGCCATTTGTGAGAGGGAGCACTGAGTTGTAAAGTAACAGGCTACATCAGGGATAGATTTTAAAACGTATTTAGACACTGAAGCCTCAATTAATGATCATTGTGAGCGGAAGGGATGTTCACGTTCTCTGACCTCTTGCAAACCCCCTTTTTAACTTCCTCATTAAGTTTATTATTAATATAAATTGCAATAAATAATGTCCAACGGTGCCCAGAATGACTGCAAATTAAGTCCCTACTCTTCATTTAATTCGCATGTGCCCACGTGCTGCATGTAAATCATTGTACAGGAAGTTCTTTTAACCGACTGTATGAATTAAAGTTTAAAGGGGGAGAATTCTGGTTATTGTGGCTGACATGAGAAGATCCCCATTGCAACATCAAAGCAGCTCATTCACATTCACTTCGTCTTTTATTAAAGTGAATTTATTTTCTTTGTGAACAGGAGGTGATAATCAAATTATGAATTTATGACAGTGGTGGAACAAGATGTGCATTGGACCTTTCTCTCGTTACTTTAATCTGACAGCATTCATTCGTTTAATCTGCCATCATGACTTTTACATAAAAGAGACTTGAGCACTTCAAATCGAGCAGGCATGTAGAACTGGAAAACACATTTGTGCATTTATGTGGTGCATTAACACGGTGCGTGTCTGAAAGGAGCTAACAACTGCTGCATGAATACAGTGACTTACCTGGATAGCCAGATACATCATCCCTAAGTAGGCTGCGATGCAGACAGCCAGTAGCAGGTCAAAAATAGCAGGCTTCACTCTGAGGGAGAGAAAATCGCCGGAGTGATTATCAAAAGAGAAAAGAAAGTCAAAGATGATCTTTCTCTATATGTGATGGCTGTTTTTACTCTGAAATTTAGAAAACTGAGGATTAATTGAAACCAGAGGAGACGGCCTCATGACTTTACAGATAGCCGTGAGCTGGAGAGCTTTCACAAAGCTATTGTAAATCAGCATGAGCTACACTAAAGCCTCTCAGAGGAAGGAAGAGGAACTCATTAAAGCATACCTGTAAGCGTTCATAGTCTGCTTGAGCTGGTCGTAGAATACAAACTCTGGATCCCTGAGGAGGAGAAACGGTAAAAAACTGTCAAGAAACCAGATCACAATCTACAAGTTTTATTAGATCTGTCATTTCTGGGAATATACTGGAAAGACTTATTACTAGTTGCAGTTTTGTGACAACATATTTCAACCAGCGTCACTGGTTTAATTCATGATGATCAAGAACGGGCTGATGTTACAGTCAAATTTAAAACTCATGTAATTACCTTTTGTCAGCTTTGACGTAGTGTCTCTTTACATCCTTGAGGTAGCGTCCGAGGTGATACTCCAGAGTGGATACCACGCTGCTGTCTTTGTCCACCAGCTGGGCGGCTCGCGGCTGCGCTGTGAGCCAGTCCACCACCGCTGATAACTGCTCCTCCTGGACCTGCTGATGTGACGCCAACCATATTACAACAACAGCATACAGAATGAACACAGCCACTTGTACAGCTGCACAGATTCACCATCAGCCTGTGGTGGAAAGCGTTACATACAGATAAATAAATTGGAAATAATTATTAGATTGAGCAATACTCTTTTTTTTTTTTTGGAGTAACCTGGTCCATTTGTGTTCAGATTTCACAACTAACCAAATTATAAATATTTTGAATGGCAACGCAAATTATGTCCTGAAAAAAAACCCAATTGTTGTTTCAGTGATACTAAGATGAGTTTGTGATTGACAAAAAAATATGGTGATTACATGAAAGATGATGGAAGACTGAGCATTGATTGCACAAAACCTTGGCACAGAATATCTTTCACTGATTCCAGCGATTGAGCAAATAGGCGCCAACAAAGTGTCAACCGTTGGCACCGACCCATGGGGAAGAAGAAGAAGTAAAGAGCATAATACGATGGCATCTTTTTCTGTTAATATACAGGACACGCACATATGACACAGGTCTAGTGAACTTTGTTTTCAGTTCAGCTGTGATGCATTCAGATGAATCAGCTGACATGGATTAATCTCTGGTCGTCGTCATTCACAGAGAGTTGATTCTGCTACTGCTAAAACCTTAGAATCACAACTGCCAGTGATTAAACCTCCATCACTGCATCACTCAGACTCATGACACGTGCATGTAAGTTTAGTGACTTACCATTTGTTCAGTGAAGATCTGCAGGTCTCCAGGGGCGCCCTGTACAGGAACAAAAATATCACACATCACAGGCAGGAAAAAAAAGGAACTGCATGTAGTGTTGATAGATTTTCTCCATCCGTTTTATACCTTCTCTGTGAGGTTGTAGATGACCCTGGCCAGTGCTTCTGCTACCACCTTGGTGTTCCTACCGAGTTTCTTTACATCAACGTGAGGCCTGTAAGACACAAACACAAGTTTGCAGACAGTTAGAGAAACAGAGAAGCTCATCGTCAGAGGAGAAACCAGAAACCCCGAAGAGAGACGCATCACAAGAGCATCCAAAGCCACACAGGCCTGAGGGGGACTTTCTTAAATTAATAATTAAATCTATCTCTGTGCTTGCTGTCACAAGTGCAGGAGCTCTTTGCCAAATGTGTCTTGTGTTTTTTTGACGTTGCTTTTCCTATGCACCAATTGAGAAGCAGCGCTCCTAATTTGGTTGTATGCAGAGCTTACGATGACAATAAAGGCTTTCTAATTCTAACTCTAACCTCGCCTGTTGCTTCTGCCCCAGGTGGCTTTCTCACAGCAGCATGTTAGCTGATGTCCTCCTCTTCTCTTCCTACACCTCTCTCTTAATTATCTACAGCTATCTCTTCCTGACCTTCTCTTCTTCAGCAGCACTAGGTGAAGCCCGGAAATATTCTAAACAAATTATTTATTTATATAATCACACTGGTCGAACTCTCGAGCTTTCCCACCTTGGTTTTCTTAAGTTTTTATGTACTCCGTTTTGCTAATACCTCTGGTCCAGACTGTCTTTCCACATCCTCAGGTAGAGCCTTTTTGAGTCTGTAAATATTTTTTCAATATTCATGTGCCTTTGAGGTTTGAGGCAGCAAACATTCAGCATCACAGTTAAGTGTTTATGTGTTTGAGAGAGAGAGAGAGAGAGAGAGAGAGAGAGAGAGAGAGAAAGAGAGAGGGGGGGGGAGAAATCGCTGCGCACAGCTCTACAGCGACATCAGATTTCAGATTTTACTCATTTGAAATAATGGAGAAAAAAAAAAAATCAATGTGGCAGTCAATGTTGATATTGTGTCGGGCCGCCACAAATAAACCGATGTATGGGAAACACTGCTTACAGATCAAGTGTAGAATACTCACACAGAACAGATAAGTGCTTTACTAACAGACACAGTACAGAAGCAGAGGAGGATTAAAGAATGGATAGTAGAAAAGAGAGGACAAACGTTTTACTACCACACCGAAGAGGCTTCAAATGTAAACCTCATATGCCAAACAAAACCCCCAACACTGCAACACTGACAAAAAGTGACATAAAAACTGTCATTGATGATGGAAATTATGAACTGGTCAGGCCCCTAAAACACTTCAGCTCTGTCACGGGAGGGGTACAAACAGGTCAATAACACCTCAGACATGAATGAAAGCAGCTAGAATGGAAACTCTTTTCTTTTGGTGATTCAGAGACTTGCAGTAATGAACCCACCCAGCAGGGGGCTCTCCCGCTCCGTGGCGAGAGGAGGGGGACACTGACCGCACGTCCATGATGCTGGAGCGCTGAGCCAGGCGGTGCGAGGGCAGATGGGACAGAGTGAAGGCCGGCAGCCGGCGGATCCCGAAGCGCTCGTGCTCCCAGGCCAGCATGTCGTCGGCCAGGTTGATTTTCTTGTGGACCATGGAGAATTTGACCTCCGGGTACTGACTACTCACCACCTGGGAGGAAGTAAGAGGGACAGAAAAACATAGTGGCGGTTAAACAGTATACGCTCAGTTTATCCTACAGGTGTGATGATTTGCCTGAAACTTTGATAATCATTCAAAGAGGTCGTACCGGGCAAAAGCTGAGCAGCACATGTGCTCTGGTTCACAACTCACATGATGTGACTTAAGAAAGAAGTAAAACTGCTGTTGTGTTACAGAAATATCTGCAACTTTAAAGGGGCATATTCTGAGTTTGCATGGCCATTTACATTTCTATGTAGGATTGTCTTATATGCTGCCAAATAAGAGGGAATTTTTGTTGCTGTTTTAGGTTCTAGTGAGAGATCAAAGTCTAATTATACAAGTGACTCACTGACAGGAAAGTGGGAAATCAGACTCAAGTGTATCAGGCCTCACAATACTTACCATCTCCAGCTCCTTAAGCAGAGAGTATTGAGGAGTTCCCTCTTTAGGTGGTTTGGACACATGGAGGTGCAGAGAGTCTCCATTCCCGAGAGTGTCCAGACACAACACGAAGGCTACGTTGTCTTGTAGCAAACTGGAGTCTATTACCAAAGACAGGGAGACGTATAACAGAGGAGTAAGTTAATAAATTAATTAAAAAAAAAAAAAAAGATATAGGGAAAGAAAAGAAAGGGCACATAACACATTTAAAAACAAGCATATAATTAAATATTGTATACCGAAAAAAAAAAACTAGGTCTGGCACAAACAGCCCAGTACACTAAAGCCATGGTGTCATTTTGTTCTGATCTGCTTCAACAAGAAGCCTCAACATGCAACTGTTTGGTCTACTATATATACGGTTAACAGATGTATTTTAATGTATCCATTTATTTATTTTTTTGACTTTTTAAGACCATACCAATTCAGACTATGAGTATTTCATTAAAACTGAATCATGGACCCAAAATTGAATATTGAACAAAATCCAGCTTCATGAATATGTATATACTCTTCTGCAGGTTCTGTGTATGAATACTGAACGGTACCTGTATGGTCCAGATTCTCCTCCAGCCAACGTTTGGTGCCCTGGTAGTTAAACTTCCCTCCACCAGACACAAAAAACAGCAGGTTGTATCTGAAAACACAACAGGATGCTCAAATGAGGCAACGCTGCAAGGGAAATCCCCTGAGAGAAGCTGGTAGAGGAGAATATGTGATAGTAGAGCTGCTGCTTTCAGACATGCACTGCAACCCTGAACTCCTGAAGAGGCTGTATGTCAGAACACAAGTGTCCGAATGAGTTGGAACCAGACATTAAAACAGACTTTACCCTGCCAGCGCCCTAATACAAAGTCTGTGTAATGTCTAATTGGGCTGATGTGTGAATAGAGCCAGTAATTGTCAGGAGAACTCACAGTGAGGGGTGGATGACATTTCTATTATGTGACCGGTGTGAAAAAAGAAGAATACAAACATCTGAGAGTGAAGACACTCTGTTGTTTATGATGTAAACATTGTGAAACACTCCTGCATGCTCTACCCAGGCCCCACCCATCGCCTAAACCAAACTTTAGGTAAAGAAATTACCTAAAGTAGATATCGATAAGAAACCAAAATGAATGTTGAGAGAGGACCGAGTATTTCCAGCGGGTGACAACGGGTCTGAAAAGGACAATCTCCTGTTGTGTGCTTCACGTTTAAAGAGGGCAACTCTGGACAATGTCAGGACATAATTCTCTGGACACTGTCTGGAGTTCAAATGAGAAAACGGCTTAGGATAAACAGGCATAGGGATTGTCTCTGTGTTTGTGGACAAATAAATGACCAGGCATACTTTGAAATGATGGACATGTCAAGTGAGTAGTGCTGACTTAGATCCCATACAAACTTTATCTGATTCAGTGCAGTTACAGTAAAATCCATTACTCTTTTAGTAACCGCTTTCCGTCTCTGAACGAAGTGTTTCCTCCCACTCAACTACGGTGAAGTACATCTAGACATAAGAATGAGCCTGTACCTCATTACTGACCGCTTCCAGTGTTTAACACAGTCGGATGTGATCATTCTAGCCAGCAAAGTGCACAGATAATGTTCAACATAGTTCTCAAAAAGCATTAAGAGCGGGACACTTACTATAACAAATGTGATAGACATAACAAATAGACTTACGCTAAGATGAACCGCTGGGGTCAGCAATCAATACTGCTTCTACTGTTTCATCATGTATGCAATAGGTAAACTGAAAAGAGCTTCGCTGAGGTGTCTGTGTTAACATGAATGAGTGAAAAATTACGATATGGTGCTTTTGATTCAGCTACAACACAATAAAAACTGCTGGGAGAGCTGTTTGAGATTCATGAGACACAAAATGATCCAAAAAACAATCTGAATGCGAGTGTTGGCGTCATTACTCACCCAGCGTGAGTTCTCTTGTAGGTGTAGAGTTTCGAGAAGAGACGAGCCAGCTCTAGTAACATGGACACTCCGCTACCGTTCGAATCGGCTCCATAAGACAGCCACTGGACACAACAACATAGAGTCAGATTACTTTCCTGGTCTGCTCTCTTGTTAATGACAGCTGTGTGTAAATGTTACTTCCTGAGATGTTATTTTATGGAGGGTTGAGTTTTTGGACTCGTGTGGCGGCTAAATAAGTTATCCAAAGTCCTACAAATATATTTCTGCTGCTAAATTTCCAGAATAATTTGAAGATGTCATTGAGGATTTGTAGGAAAGAAGGAGCAGTGAACATACTGGAGCAACACCAAAGGAGTCGTAGTGAGCCACCACGACAATAGTGGGCAGGTCCTCTCCTCCAACTCCAGCCAGACGACCCTGGTGAATAACAACAACGGAGCCATTAGACTGGGCAGAAATAAAAACAGAGCAGAAAGAGAAAATCTGTAGCTTTGGATTCAGCTAAACCAACACCGCTGCGTGTATTAAACTGTCTGGCAGCATGACTGTGCAGAGCTGAAGTGGGTTACAGTCACAGTCGACCTCCTGACCACAGACCTCCGAGAAAAACCTCAGTCTGTCTCCTAATCCTCTGCAGTATGACTAAACCACTTTCTCCTTCTGGTTTCAACACAAAGCTCAGATTAGAAAGTCCTGAACTGACACTTCTCTGCTGCTTTATTTTCTCACTCAAACTGACTGATTTAAATCCATGTGAAAACTGTGAGCAATGCCATTCAAATCCCTTCACGAAGCATTATGAGAGAAGGCTGTCAGCCACTAGGCTACAGAACGTGTGTAAATGTTTGCGCATATAAATAAAAACTGCAAATATAGTCTCAATTTAATCTGAAAAATGTTACACTGCAGTTGATTTAATTCTTCACTGTGTAACAACACAAACACTGAATAAACACTAAATAAAACTGGTGTAGTAGGCCTTCCTGAATTCATCTGAGATTTCAAACCTCAAGACTTTCTTTACTCTCTCTTCCTCCACCTCACAAGTGCATACTTCCTAATTTAGACACATGACTCATTTGTGAAACCATTTTCTTAAGCAAAGCCAACCCAAAATGTCAAGTATTAGTTGTACATTGCCTGAGGTTTAAACCACAGAATTGGCCTGAAGGTCTAGTTATCAATGTCCAAATTTACATTACTTGCCTTGACAACGAGTGGAGGTTTGTGCTTGAATATCTTACCATTACAGTCGAGTCACAGAGCCTTTTAACCCCTCTCTAAAACATCCGACATGAAAAACGGGTCTTTAAGGATTAAGACAACACCTTCAGAACAGCGTTAAATCCTGTGAACTGACCTTCTGGGGGTTTTCAATGACTGCCAGAAATCAGATGCTGAGCTCCGTGACTCGAATGTAATGGTGATTCATGAGAGGCACAAACTGGGGCTAGTAGAGACTGCATGCTACACAGTTTAGGCTACAGACACGAATGATAGGTAACACTTGCATTTTTATCAGTGTCTTAGAGCAAATGCAACAAGCAAAATCTACTAAAAACCTGATCTTTTATTTAATTAAATACAGAAATGTAATTAAACACTGAAGCCGTTCGAAACTGCGAACAAAGAGCAACGTTTCAAAGTTTGGCAAATGATTATGAATCATAATACACAGTCTGACTATGGGAGGATCTGGATCAAGCACCCAGAGGAAAACAAACTTTAAATACCCATATACATAAGATAAATATTTAAAGTTTTTTTTCATTTACAGTATTGGAATCAGTGTGTTGAATCAACCACCAACTTGGAAAGCCTTCCTAATCTTACACTCGAGTCTCTCACCTCTAAACTGGTGATGGCCCAGTCACTGATGGCTTTGCTCTGAGCTCCACTGGTCACCATCTGGAAGCCGTTGGCTGTGGCCGTGTGCAGCAGCACTACAGAAAAAAACAAACAAAAAAACAATGACACTTATCTTAAATGTTGATCGAATGGACTAACGGTGTATTTTCATGTCAAGCAGAATGCCGATCCCACACGTCCTATCCTCTCTATCATCGGAAGACTTTTAATACTAACAAGCACTTGGTTTTGTGTTTACTATGCAGACAAATGGATCACACCAGCAGGTGCAGTCTAGCGGGATTAGTCGCTACCTTCAGCTGCTGACAAGGAGCCCTGCGAGGAGGAGGAGGTCAGGGTTTGGGTGTAGATGGACAGCAGCTCATCATCCTCCATGGCAAAGTACACAGGGACGATGGTCTCAGTGGCCAACATCTCCGGTTCAAGCTCCATGAACTGCTACACAGGGTGAACAGAGGGGAACATCATGTTTAACAACATAAATCACACAGCTCCATTTGTTTGATCTAGAAACAGAAAGATTAAAATTGGAGTTCAGTGTTGCACATACTTGTTTTGAGTGGAATTTGAAATGCGCCAAACATGGTTTTAACTTGTGTAACCAAATGAGTAACTCATCAAATGCCTACTACTGCTGCTTTCCAGAGAGATTACTAATCCCACTCAGAGTGGGAAGTCTCATTAGTCACAACTTGTGCAATGTGGTTCACTGAGATAGGACTATGGGTTACCAATTGTGACCTGAGACACCACTCATCTTTTCGTTCTTACCACTGTGGATGTGCCTTTGAACCAGACACTTATCCCATACAAATCATCTCAAAGCAGATAAGCTCACGGCTGACTGTGACTGTGGTTCAGGGCACCGCTCAGCAATCAAACTGGGGATGCTACTCGTGACCTGTACAAAAAATGTGGATGGCTGTTATATTTCTTCTCATGTTTTATATCTGTAGATCACATCCACTTAAATGTTGAATCACCAGCATTCTTTGTGGCCTTTTTCTTATTCACGTGTCACAGGTATTCCCTCAATACTGTGTCTTACTTTTTCTTGACGGTAGAGAGGAAGAGCTACATTTTGTACCGCGATACCACCTAACATATAGTGGAGAGTGGAAACGGTCAAGGGTTAAAGAGATAAAAAAAAAAACATTTTATTTGCGACAATGGCGTTTGTGTCAATACCTGTACTATGTCCTGGGGCACAGCAGACATGTTCTTGGGAAGGGTGATGACCACAGCTCCCGCTGACTGGCGCAGGGCTTTCTGGTACTTATCGTAGGAGAAGTCTGCCAGCCGCATGATCACACAGCGACGACTTAGTACCTCTGCCTCCACAGTACGGGCCTCAGTGTTCAGGATGGCATTCCTGGTACCTGAGGATACCACATACACTGATCATCACTTCTCAAACATGGACTCCTGATATTAAAGTCAACAGGAACTGGCAAAAAAAAAATAGTAACATAAATTGAATCACACCATCTTGCTAGACAAAGATCATAAACGAAAGGTTGGGGTTATTTATCTATTTATCAAATGTAATAGTTTCCATTCATTTTCATCACAAACACTGGACAAAATGTGACCTACATTGTCACACTGTGTGAAGTGGGGAGAGAGGAAGAGATACTGCTTTCCCCACTGTGCTTCAGACTAGAAAGCATTTAAACTGTCAAATAAGAAAAGGTAAACTATCACGTCCTTTCAGAGTACAACTCTAAAAGGAAGCGGAGTAAACACATTTGTTAGCTTATGTTATGTCCCTCTCCAATGTAAGTTAGATTTTTCAGTTTTGCTAGGCTAATGGTGAATTAATACTTACAGTTACAATTTATTGTGGGGACACCATGGATGTATTATCTTATGGAACATCCATGGGGGACACACGCTTTAGCACTGCACACGGACTTCATTTTAAGGAGCAATGATCCTGATTTGGTCCTTAATGCTAAGCTACATTAGGAGCTAGTTAGCTGTAGCTACCTTTCACTGCTGTCATTTGACGCGTTAGCTAGCGAGGCTAGCTTCAGTTAGCTGTTGGAGACCGATCTAATCACTGGCCAAGTCATAGTAGTGAGGCTTAGATTAACTCCCGGGTGACAAACTGGAGAAAGAGCCGACTCACCGTACGGCTGTCCCTGCAGGTCGTACTGCTGCATGCGGTACACCGTGAACTCATGTGCCGCCTCAGCCGGGAGCGGTGACACAAGGATCAGCACCGCGGGGATAAACACGATAAAGGTTAGGGGAAACGAAGATTTAAACATGTTGTCGAACACCTCGCTGGCCTCCTCGAACATTTTGGCGATTGTATTCAACGCACAGCTCGGGATGAAACAATATACTTGGCTGTCACTGCTCTCAGTAACTGACAGCCGGGGACCGAGTTCAGCTAACCGACCAGAGCTACAGCTGCATGATTCTGATCAGGCGAATAAACTGGACCATCTCTTACTCTGGACTGGGACACCAACAAAATCAACACTATTGCTAGTTTTTGAAAATAGATCAGCACATTTTATTGTGTATTTAAAGGTACGTATTTATTTAAACTATTAGTATGAAAATCAAATATTTCTAAGCTGAATAACCGACGGTCCTCCAGGGATCTTACAGGACAGCTATAAATACAGGGACATGTATTCCTTTATGGTCACTAGATGGCGCAGTACACCACACATGTATTAATATCGGCTGAATTATTATTATTATTATTATTATTATTATTATTATTATTGTTAATAAACTGTCAAAACATTATGCAAATAAATAAATTAAAATATATACATATAGGCTAAAAGGCTAGTCAGTCGTGGTGCCAAATTGAAGTAGACTACTTCTGTGTCATGAAGTGTCCATGATTTGGTTTGTAGTCAGTCCATTTTCTCTTAGGATTGTGGAAGTGGACTGGATTATAATGAACTGGTATTTTGTTAAAACTGCTGGCAGCATTTACAACCATAAATCTCCTCATGTAAAGTTAATTGCTCTGGATAATTTCAGTGTCTTTTTCACACACAAAAGCACTCAGGTGAAGCACATACAGGGCCATAACCACAATTTTAGAAATACTGTGGCCTGCATGTTAGGTCACACCAATGACCAACAACAGGCTTACGATTTTTATTTTAGTTTTTTTTTTTTAAATGTCATTTTTTAAAATAAATCCAAAAAAGTGTGTATAGAAACAAAAAAGCAGGACCCTTGAACCAATATATTATTCTATATCATGTTAATCTTATTTTTGGGGATTTTGGACTGTTGGTCAGACAAAATGAGACATCTGAAGAATTGAATCAGGCTGTGGGAAATTTACACTATTTTCTGGAAATAATTGTTGTTTGCAGCCCTAATTCAGTTGTTCTGTTTTCTGTCCTTCTGTTTGCCCATCAGGAGCTGACGTTGGAGCCAAAGCCAAAATTTTAAAATCTGAAGCTCATCATTTCCCAGGAGGATTATGTCCACAAGAATTGTAAGTTACACATGCTAACAAGTTGTTGAAACCCTCACATTCCCCCAAAAAACAAGCAAATGACCCCAGTGGTAGTTACAGCCATGAGCACAGAGAGTTTAAATTCAGTTCTCTGGTTTGTCATTACTGAACTAAGTATGGCAGCGCAGTCTGTGGCAATGGCATTTTGGCTCAATGATGGCATTGAAGGCAAAGTGGAAAACAAAACACATTCAATGTTATTTATTTATTTTGGCAGAGACCATGTCCAAAAACATCAATCTCAAACAAGAGAAGAGATATTTTGTTCCAGATTAGGTTCTTTAGACTATTTTCCATCAGTGTCTGTGTCTTAAGTGTCCTGCTGTCTCTTGGCATATGTCAATTAAGTATGAAAAAAACATTGAAACTATTTATACATATAAATAGTCTCTTTCCCATCTCGTAAAATATTTTTTGCTGACTCATCTTGCTCTTGGGGGCATGTAGATTAACTCATCGAATCAAATTGAATAATTGTGTTACTTTGAGGGAAAGGTAGCAGGATTATTAAAAGATCCAAAAGGCTCTTCTTCTCTTTTTGGGAGCATTAATGTCTATATTAAAATTAGTTTGTTTAGAACTACCAGATGAAGAGATTTGAAAAAGGAAAATTTGGCCTCATTGTGGCGCTAGAAGAAAAGTAACGAGATCACCAGCACACCTTCTGACAAAAGTTTTATATAGTAAAAAAAAAAATAATAAAAATTAAAAGCCTGAGTCCAGTTGGGAAGAGCTGAAAATCATATTCTCTCTCCTCTCCTCCCTCCCCGTCTCTCTCCTGGGGCTGCTCTGCTAAGTAGGAGATTAATGCTGATATGATGTCCTGCCATCCCACTTAATGGACCTTGGCGTCATTATTTCCTGTTGTATGAGTAATCCATGCCCAGGCTGGTGAGAGGGCAAGCAGCACACAAAGCACAAAACCAATTTAGCGTGGACGTTGAAACTCATTGTAATGATTACACATTATTGAGATCATTTGGAGATCCGCTCAGATGACTCCCTGTCTGGTCTGAGGGAAGCATACTGCTCAACATAAAGACACAAGTAGAAAAGAATAATTGTTTCAACAGGAAAATAATGTTCTTGTGTGGATGGTGCACATGAGCGGCACGGCAGCAGTCGTGTCACATGAATCTAATTCCTCAAAATTCATAACATCCTGTTATCACAGGATCTTCCAACATAGTGGCTCACAAGAAAGCGTGTCACGTTTTTCACTTGATGTCCGAAAACATTAACATCTTTACTAAACATGACTGTGTGTATGACACACTGACGACTATGTGATGCAAAAACAGTCAAAGACAATCACACACACACACACACACACACACACACACACACACACACACACACACACACACATACACACACAATGCATGAGCTGTTCAGTGTCCTCATTTCTTTCCAGTGCTCCTGGGAATGTCCTGAATCAGACCAGCCTTTGCTCCTGACCCGCGGCCACAGAAAAACACTTTCTCTGTGCCACCACACAAAAGGTGCAGTCAGTGTGTTTGTGGGTAAGTACCATGGATTAACGAGAGATTAGCTACCTAGCAGTAAGTAAGCAATTTCTGTGTAGCATGCCTATGTAAGCAGCCCCCCCCGCCCTCCTCCTCGGTTTATTGCCCCTTCCCATTCTTAGAGGATGCTGTCATTTTCTCACCACACTGGCAGGTTGCTCAAACACTGGCCACACTGAAGTGCTCAAACCGCTCAGCGACACGGTCAGAATCACAGAATACCAAACATGTACTGTAAGAGGGAGTGCTCTCCGGCCTGAGCTCTCCACACTGACACCACTGTCACCACACAATGGTGGTCTTTCTAACTAAGACCTATGGAGCAGGTCTACCGAGTCATTCACTCCTTAAAACACCACCCACCCTTGATAATGAGCAGAAGCTTGAAAAACAACTAAACCCTGCTTGATGGATAGATCTATGAACAAGCGATGGGGTGACAGAGCGGTCAGACAATACACTGTGTGAGTCATTTCAATATGAGAGTTTGAAGAGAGTAATTTCACACTAAATCCACTTTTTGAGCTTGTAAATCATATGAACAGTCGCTTGGATCTTGGCCTCATTACATTGTGTCCTCATCAGGTATACAGGATATACAGGTTTTGTGTGTTATGTGTTTAAACAGTGTGTATTACATGTTCTTGATGGGCTAAGTTGTGCCAAAACCACAAAAGAAATATGGCAAAACTCCTGCATTCAAAATGTTACTCAAGTAAAAGTGTTGAACTATTATCGTTGAAATTAAAAAAGAGCACTCATTTAATTTTGTAGCTGGTCAAAATGGAGCTAATTTATCCCACTGTATTTGTAGAAGGGTAATTGTCATATTTATGAGCTCGTCTTATTTTTTATATATAAAATATATAAACGTATAAAGTAACTAGTAACCAGGTAAATATAATGCAGTGGAGTAATAAGTGTAATATGTCTGTGTGAGTTGTAGTGAAGTCGAGTGTGAAATCACATAAAATTAAAATACCCAAGTAAAATACAAACACCTCAAAAGTGAACTTTAGTCCAGAGTGTTAGTAAATGTGTTCAGTTACCACCACTCTATAATCATCAATATATCAACACACCGAGGAAGGCACAACCTGGAACGTCTCTGTGTTTTAGTGGATAGCTGCTACTCACTTCATAAAAGAATATGCAAGATTAAGAAAATATTATTTGTGAGTTGTTAAATCACACCGGAAGATTCAGTCTGAGGGTTTGAACTGTACATGTTCTCTCAACATGACCTGGTAACGATGGATCTGGCGTGTGTCCTGAGATGGCAGCTGCCTCTCAATACGAAGTATGACCATCCTTTTCCTTTCTTCTCCTGCTGATTTACAGTGATTTGTGGCCACAGGCCCTGTGGAGGCAATATTACCCTGGCTTCTTTACGTACCAGGCAATTGATTTACCAGTCTTTTTCATTAGGGCCGGTGGAAATAAGACAAAGAAAAGGGGAGAACATAGTGTATGACAGCTGAGCTGCAGCCACTGAGACCGTGAACCTATTTGGTTGCGCAGGGCAACCGTCAGATAATGGATGACGAGGCCTCGTGGAGCCAGCCGTTCCATTAGGTTTTGTTAATGCGGTCAGAGGAGGTTGGCGTGGCTCATCCGCCTTCATATCCACTTTCAGAGACGCTCACTCATGCTGGCCGCTGGATTCAGCCTATCTCTCGCTCTTCCTTTTGCTCTCTCTATTGTCTTGCTTTTGACTCTTAACTTCCTCTTATGCTTTACATCTGTTTCTTATTGTTTTTCTACACTATTCTCTCTATCCTTTTCTCTCCTGCCTTCTCCCTCTTTCTGTCTTCATTCCTCTCCCCTTTGTCCCATGATGCTTGGGAGGTTTTGAGAAGATCCACTTAGTGTTGCTGTTTTAGATTAGCTGGTGGTTTTCTTGCAGTGTCATCACAGTCCTTGCATAAGAGTCATAGGTACACATCGTCTCTGAATTATTACGCAGAGGGATTTGCGGTGGATTCACACTTTTGCAATACGGAATTCTTAGAAGCTTATTTTTAAACCTGTGTGCTACTCCAATGCTGTACGAGCATGTCAGTGCAGCATGTGTGGCAAACTGGGAACTTCAGGCTTGTGAAAGAGGTGCATGTGTGAGTACAGAGTGAACTGTACATTTAGTGGGTGGGACATAAAGAAATTCATGAATGGAGTCATGGGTGTGTGCTTGTGTGTGTATGTACTGTATGTGGCAATCGCTTTTCGCATAATGCTGGGAATGTAAGTATCATGAGGGGGAAGGATCTTGCCTAATGGCTATCTATCTATCTATCTATCTATCCATCTATCTATCTAGTGGAGGGGAGGCTCCAGGTCACCAGTAGCTCATATCTGGTTGAGATTTAAACAATTACCACCATATGTTCAGTTGTTCTTACTTTGA